TCTGTTCCTCAGACCTGCCCCAGCATCCCTGAGCTGCCCTGAGTATCTTGAGCATCCTCTGCATCCCCCATGCTGCCCCTGAGCATCCCTTTCATCCCTCATTCTGCCTCCAAGCATCCCTTTCATCCCCTGCATCCCCTCCAGATTCCCTGAGCATCCCCTCAGCACGCCTTGGCTATCCTGCGGTTCCCTGTGAGGCCACAACTCTCTTTGGGATGCTTGGCCATGCTTGGGGTGCTGCATGGAAACCTCCCGGGCATCTTTGCATTGATGTGGTGACCAGTGCAGCCCAAGTGTGGCTGTAGTCCACCTCCAGTCATGACCCCACAGGTCTGACCCGCCCACCCTGCCCTGCTGGGGCCTCAAATACCTGTGATCTGAGTGGGTGCCTGGGAGGGAGTTGGGAGGAAAGCAGGAGAGGTTTGATGCTCCCAGGTGTGGCAGCGAGCATCGTTCGGTGGCTGGGTTGGTTAAGCAGGAAGGAGTGAGGATGTGGCTGAAACTGCTGCCCCTGGACATGTGGATCCAGAAATGGAGCCTGGACTTGGGGCATTCTGGCTGTTCCCTGCCCTGCCTGGGTGATGCTCTTGAGAGGTTTTGGGAGGCAGGAGGCCAAGGCCTCCCTTGCCCTGTGGAGCCTGGGGTTGCTGTGGTGTCCTGAGGTGACAAAGAGCTGCCTGTCCCTGCTGGGTGTGCACAGGGACCACACAAAGTCCAGCCTGGCATCCTGCAGCCCATGTGCCCCTGCCTTTCCTCCTCCCATCTCCTTTCCTTTTATTCTTAGCTTCTTACCCTGAGGTTGTGAGAGTGATTTCACTGTCACTGCCCAAAAGACATGAGCTTTGACTTGATCTGGGTGGCTACGTTGCAGAAACCCCCAAACGAGGGCTGTCCCTGAGAGGTCGTGGCTGTGCCTGGCACAATGGTGTCAGGAGTTGAATTTCTCTGCCTGCCGTGGAGCTGTGCAGTTATCTCTCTCAGGACTCAGGACACCAAATCTGCATGTGATTGCTTGCATCCCGTCATGGTCCTTAAAATTGTCATTAAAGACAAATATTGTGAACTGTAAGGAAAAGAACTGGCTGCACACAATCCTTCCTGTTTATATAAAAACGTGCACAAGTGCTGTCGTTTCCGTAAGCTGGCCTTTGTTCAGATGTTTTTGCAAATGTAATGCAGCTAAACACTTCCAAGTAATAACAAACTTTAAAGATAAGAATGAAGCTCGGCAGTGACTCATTTGAACAAGCTGCAGCTACACACAGCCTCAGCCAGCTAATAGCCTCTGAAAACACTTCAGATCCAGAACACAGTGTAAAGCAGAGCCTCTGAGCTCCTGAGCTTGGGCTGTTGTAGGGATGAATATTATGGTGCAAACTGGAGTTTACAGGGGATTTTGGTGACACATCCTCATCACCTTTATTAATGCCACCCAAATAATTAATGGAACACCAAACAGTGCAGTCTCCTTCAGGGGAAAGCACTCCCTGACCAGCTTTCTGCCATGATGAGGATGATAAGACCTGTTGTGATGGTTATTTGATGGGGTGGAATATAATAAAAAAGCCTTGACAGCTTTGCTAAGGCAGACAGGCAGCAGCTTTTGCTTTCCTGCATGAGCAGCCCTCGGAACCTGCATGGCTCAGTGCTCTAGGCAGACGGAGCTGAGTGCTGTGAGCCCTGTCCACAAGTTCAAGCAAGAAATTCTCCTTTTTGGAGAGATGGGGAAATTAGAATAGAATAGAATCATAGAATAGTTAGGGTCGGAAAGGACCTTAAGATCATCAAGTTCCAACCCCCCTGCCATGGGCAGGGACACCTCACACTAAACCGTATCACCCAAGACCTTGTCCAACCTGGTCTTGAACACTGGCTCTTTTTTCTCTGCTTACAGAATTTGTGACATTTCCAGTCTTTCAAGCAATCTTGGGGGTAGCTCCTTTAAGTGAAAACCAAGAGCTTAATGTGAGCAGGAATCTAGGAGCTTTTAGAAACAGTCACCAGCTTTTTGCTAGAGAAGGGGGAGGCTAGTGAGAAGGGAATGAAGCTGTGGTTGGAGGGGTCAAAGGAAACAAAAGCCGACATGAGCTGAGGAGCTCTTCAGGCTTGAAACTGGTGGCACATCTGGGGGGATGCTGACAGCATACCTGGAGAGGATGCTGAGAGCACATCTGGGGAGGATGCTGACAGCATACCTGGAGAGGATGCTGAGAGCACATCTGGGGAGGATGCTGACAGCATACCTGGAGAGGATGCAGAGAGCACATCTGGGGAGGATGCTGACAGCATACCTGGAGAGGATGCTGAGAACACATCTGGGGAGAATGCTGACAGCATACCTGGGGAAGATGTCCACCTGCAGCACACAGGGAGGGGGTGGGAGCAGCCAGCAGACAGGATGTGGATTCCCAGGGAACCTTGTTCTTTTTGTTTCCTGCAAACGTGCCTGTTTACCGTGTTTTCAGTGTTTCCCTGTTCAAATGCACCGAAGGGGTTGGGGAGCATTCAGTCCTGCAAATGATCATTAATGCCAATTGTGTGTTTGCACTTGGGGGATTATGTTAATCATGCTACAAATGATGCTCTGAGTCATGTCTAAAGGTTAATTAACATGCCTTTCTTCTCTTAAGAGGGCCTTCACGTCTGCTTAGAGTTGCTGGCTTTTTTCTGCTTCCTTTCATAATTACTTTGCAGCTCTCTAATATCATGGGTGCCTTTAATTTAACCCTGCCAGTGCTCAGGCTGCTAAGGCTTTGCACCGTGCTCAGCATCATGATGGTTATTTGATGGAGTGGAATACAATAGAGTATCCCTGACACCTGGAGATGTTGTAGCAACACTGAGACCTTGCAAGAAGCGGAGGAAAACTGGAGAGGGTCTGGCTGGAGCCAGGTGAGAAGAGAGGATGGTGGTGGTGATATTGCCCAGAGGCCACAGCCAGTTTATTAACGAAGCTCTTACACTGACAATTAATGGGAAAGGAGGATCCACTGTGGGAGGACTTGGAGCTGAGAGGGCTAGAGAGGGGCATTCTGAGGGGTGCAGGTGCTGCAGAGAGAAGAGCTGGCTCTTGGGAGGCCAGATACAGCTGGGTAAAACAGGTGAGCTTTTGAACTCTGAGATGCTTCACTGCATCTTGCTACTTCTCTATTTTTGGTGCTAGATCACTGTGTGCGTGCAAAATAGTGCTTTATCCTGAGCTAATTTATTTTTGCTTTCAGTGGGAGCATTTGGCTCATGGGTTCCTGTCTCAGTGCTGCACTTCGGAAGCTAGTGCTGCTTCATTTCAAATTTCTATTTTTATTTTTCCAGATAGTCTCCAATTATTTTCAGGCTTTGCCAAGCATATAATCTAAAATAACAAAGAAGCTGATCCGCCCATGATGTTCAGGATAAAACCACATGGACCATTTGCCTATGAAGCCAGCAATGCCCTACTGGAGCAGAGCACAAAATAATCCATTCAGGACATGGGGGAAGGCTTTGCATGAGTGGGTCTTTCCTGGGTTTTTTGTCCATAGCAGGACTTGAGAAGATTGAGCAAAGCTTAATGAAAGTGGACAGTAAACCTGCTTACCCTGCTGAAAGGTTCATAAACCTCTATTGATGGCTTCTCACCGTGTCAGTTCAGTGCTGGGTTCCTGGCATAACCTGAGGTTTGCCCAGTGGGGACAGGTTTGTGGAGCTATGCAGCAGCCTTGTTGCCAGTGAAAAGCACATGGGGTGCTCCTGGAGACTGGAAGATATTTGGAAAATCCATCATTTCTAGCATAGGCTCTGGCACAAGGGAGAACTGAGTATTTTGTGGGTGCAATGTCACTTAAGCAGGGAGCCATGTGTGAGACTGGCTCTTGGGCAGTCTGCTCTATCTCTAGGGGCCGTGTATCAGGCCAGCATGTTAATTTGGGATTATCAGGAAATAACTTTTAGCTCCTCATCCTAAGAACTTCCCAAGAGAGCAGATGCTTCACAGCTTACTCTGTATACAGACAGTTTGATTTTTAGTTGCACTTATGCAGCCTTTGCAAGAGGTGTAAGTGCTCAGCAATTCCGTGAGATCTTTAGGCATATTACCTTGCAGTAGACTAGTTCCCTTCACTAGCCACCCAGAGGTTTTTGACCTACATTAACAGAACAGAAAATACCTGGTGTTGGGGAAACCTCTTAATTCCTGGGGTCTGTCCCATGCTCAGTGCCCACACAGCAAACCATGATCAGGACTCACTGACCACTGAACTGGTCACCATTAAGCTGGGCTGAAATGGGTGCTGATGCAGGACCAGCTTATGGGTGGGCCATGGAAGGTCAAGTTGATTGAAAATACAGGCTGCTGTCAGCATTAATTCTATCAACTCTGTTCTCAAGGGGAGATGGAAGCTGCTTTGCTTAAGCAAAGGTGTGGGGAGAAGGGTACTAGCCACAGTGTTGCTGCCTGAGCTGCAGGGCCAGGGGTTGGGCAGCAGCCAGGGCTTAGCTGTGTCCGCTCGTGACAGTGATGACCAGTTCATGCTGGGTCACCTGCCCACAAACCTGCTTAACAAACAGTGACTCCTGAACCCTGCATCTTGGGAAAGGCCTTGCATTTCCCCTCTGTGGGGCTCAGAATCTGGCATAGGGTGGCAAGGACATGACAGGGACATTTTGATGGCAGGACATTCCTTCCATCCTCTTGAGACTGCAAATCCCACTCCCTTTGGGCTCCTCTCCACTGGCTATGTAAGGAAAAGCCAGATGGGAGAATTTTGTGACCTGTGGGGTGATCCCCAGCAAAAGACAACAAGCCCAGCTTTGCTGCCAGCACCGGGAAAGGGCTTATCCCAAGGAAGGATAATAACAGAGTGGGGGTAAGAAGGTCTGGTGTGGTACCCAGCAACAGCGACAGCACACTGCTTGCTGCCTAATTAAAATTTCATTAAGTTGGTTCCAATCCCTTGATGGAGGTCACAGGCACACCATTGATGTGCTAATGTTTTACTTTTTCCCTTTCTTTTCCTCTTTCACCACTATCCATCATCCTCTTAGATAAAGCAGTACCATTAGGAACTGCTTTCCAGTGTCCCCAGATGCAGCGGCACTGGAAGAAAGACAGCCATAATTAATCAGACATATTATCTGTCTCTTATATTCTTCCTAATTAAAAAAGGACCCCATTTTTTTTTTTTCCTTGAATCGTTTTGGGCATTAACCCCTCTGGTGTTTGTGTTGAATGCCCTGGTTAGCTTGGAAGCAGGCAAGTTACCTGGAAGGTCAGGACTGGCTGAGCTGTGATGTGTAGGGGGTTTTGCTGAATTCTGTGTGCGAGCAGCTAAATCTGGGCTGGGGAGAGGTACCTCCCTGTGTGTGCTGTGGTGCTGGCAGGTACCCATCAACCAGATCCTTCATTTGAAGGGGAAGAAATGAGGACTGGAGCCACCTCCCCAGCAGCATCATGCCTGTGGCTCCACATTACTGCTGGGCTGGACTGGGGAGGTTGGATGCATTCCCACTGAGTGACTCTGAGCATTTCCCAGTGCTGTTGGGCAGGGGACAGCATGTGCTTTGGGAGCAGGATGGAGAAGGAAGATCAAATAGGAAGGAGAAAGCTCTCAGATGGCACTGAAAGGAAGGTAATTGCTGAGGAGGAGAAGATGAAGACGTGTGGGATCCTCTTCCTGGCCATCGCTTTAACGCTGACCAGATGGCGGATGTTTGTTTCTGTGACTTGTGTGGGGGAAATATGAACAAGCTGCGAGGCTCGATCCACCCACCCCTGTGCACACAGCATCTCCTGCAGAGGCAGGCACCTTGCTTGTGTCCAGGTGGATATTCCTGGGTTTTACCCACCTCTGTCCAAGGAGAAGGCACTACTATTCTAGGTGCAGGGCAGTCTCATCCAGCGTCAAACTTACCAGAAGGCATGGGAGAAGCAAAGGACCTCACAGCCATGGGGTGCTGATACCAGCAACTTGCACGGGAGCTCAGAGACCTTGCTGGGTGCTGGTGTGGATGGAAGGCAGCTTTGCTGCTCCAGTGCTGCTGCTGCCCTGCAGATAGATACCAGTCTGAGTATTTGCACTGATCCTTTTCAGCTCTCTTTATTTGCCCTCCAACAGGCAGTGGTGACAGCTTCTCCTCTACCAGCAGCCATGCAGCAGAGCCAGACTCAGCTGCCAACATCTGCATCTGCTTCCCAGCATCAACCCCTGGTGTGGCCTCCTGGGTCCTTGCCAGCACTGCTGCAAACCCCAAAGCCCAGGTCCCCACTCAGCACCCAAATCCAGCGCAAGTTTCTGTTTTATCAATGTTAAAACCCCTGTTTTCCATTCTGTCTCTGCCTTTCCAGGTACAGCACCATCCAGTTTAACCCCAAAACATATTTCCTAATGAATATTTAACCACACAGAGCTCTGATGAGAAGGGACTGCATGTAAAAAAATAAAATAAAATAAATAATTTGATTACTTTTGCATCCTCTTCTCTTAGAGTCGATTTTGCAGCCATTTTTTTCCCCTGTTTAGTCAGGGTTTCTCAGACCTTTTCTGCCTCAGCAGATATCCCAGAAAGCCAAACATGCTCCAACTTTCACTCTTTTATTTTTACTTAGCCCATGGCTTTATTTCCTAATGATTTAGGGTATTTACTTTTTGCCCCCCTTTGCAAAGATGCGTAAGCACTTGAGTGGGGCTGAAATACACAAGCAGTCTGTAACCTTGACCTCAGCCTACTGCTCTGTGTACCATGGTGCCCATCTGGGATGGCAGTGATGGCAGGAGCTTTGCCAACTTGGTTTATCTTTGCCAAGCCAAACACCAGGTACCGTTTCTCAGCTCTAACTCACTGGACCAGACAGTTTTTGCTCCCTTTGCCCTTTTCACTTTAAATTGCAAAGACCATGGCTGCTGGCTTCAAAAGATGGGTTAACTTTTAAAAACTTTTCATTAGGGATATTAAATTATTCTTCCCAGGATGATCATTGTGTGACATTTTAATTTGGAGGATTTTTTTTTGGTGGATGGAACATCATCCTCAGCAGATTTATTGCTTAGTGAATGGCATAGTCCTGGCACATGTCAGACCTGTAAAATATTAAAATAATAGGGGAATGTTGTTAATCAGTAGTTATCACACTACATAAAGGCACATTTACAGTCCCACCAGGGGATTATTAATTTGTTTGGGGATAAGCAATTAATGTCCCTGGGAGTGGGAGCAGAAAATCTGACAGGGTTTTATGTCTTCTCCCAGCGTGGCAGAGGCAGGATAGCTCACAGGCCAGGGCTGCTGGGCTCCCCAGGGATCTCCCGTCAGTGCAGTGGTCTGCAATGCCTGGGGAGAGGCAGCCCACCAAGCAGCAAGGTCCTGCTTCTCCCTGGCTGGTTTTCCACTGGAAGCTGTGCTCTCTGTTGTGATGAATGGGCTTTTTCCTTCCCCTGCCTGAGCTGGGCCCTCACAGATGGCCTTGATGCATCCTGTTTGTTTCCCTCCCTGTCTATTTTTGGGTTTCAGCCTTTGCATCCTGTTTCTTGCATCCTTTCTGCTCAAGATGCAACAGGCACAAACAGGGAGGAGAGAGGGAGGTGCTGCACAGTTGGAAGGAGAGGGTTTTAGCTGCTACTGTTGGGTACCTTTGCTCTATGGACTTCTTCAAACTTAAGCCTTATTATTTTTCTTCAGAAGCAGCTGTTTGATCTGCAGGTATGACTCCAGTACAGGGCAGGAGCACCTGGGACAATTCCCAGGCAAGGAATTTGAATCTGGAAGGGTTACAACAAAACCAAAAAATTCTGGTTTACAAGAGCATATCCAGTGTTTTGGCAGGTAATGCCAATGCATTAGGGAAAGAAGTTCACACCTTCTGTTTCAGCAGCTCTAGCTATGGTGAACTAGCATAATGTAGGAGCCAGACTAGAGACCACCAGCTACAGCAGGGTCACTTACAGTCTGTCCTGAAGTGCCCCGTGCCTTTCCCTATTGCCACCTATTCTGGGGCAGCTGCACCACTGCCATCCCTTGTGTCCCACAGCAAAACTGCTCAGCTGCATTACCCCTTCTGCCCCCAGAGCTGCCTGGTGGCTGTTCTGTGGCTCAGCTTTCCTGGCCCACATGGCAGAAAACAAACCTCACTGTTTGCCTACACCTCTTGCACACACTTACTCAAAATGAGAACCTAGTTCCCTTTGCCATGGCCTGGTTGGATTTGGTCTTTTTTTTGCCAGCACTGTGCACATCAGGGTGCTGTTGGTCCTGGGACCCCGCAGTCTTGCTGCTGCTTCTAGGATCACTGATGGCAGAACCTGAACCAGACCCAGCTCATCTTTCAGTGGCACACACACCTGCACACATCCTGTTTGCACTTTTTTTTGGCACTATGTCCTCAAAAACCTCTTTGCACCTTTCTGTGGGGGTTAGTAGCTCATAGGTTGTTTCCAACAGGAGCTGCAAGTTTTTAGGGGATTTGCACTACCATAATTAAGAAGAACATGGATCATTAAAAATGTGCTTCACACAAGAGAGGAGCAAGCCTGCTTCACAAGACCCCTTTCTGCTGAAAAATTCATTGCACTAAATAATTAATGGGCCTCGTGAAGGAGGATGGTTTAGCAGGTTGCTGGGTGGAATTCAGATACTGGGCAGAGTAATCCTTTTTTGAGTCCATATTTCCTTGCTGCTGCCCTGGGAGCAGTGAGGATCAGCTGCTCTCTCCATGGGACCTCAAGCTAGGAGGGTACCTGTGTAACAGGGTCACCCACCCCAATCCCTGTGGGTCCCTCCTGGAATACAGATGGGGAAAGGGGATGGTCCCTGCTGGGGTGTCCCAACCTGTTCTGCACTGGAGCAGCACTTGTCTCTTCAGGTCTCGGTGGCTTGGAAGGCCCCAGGGAGGAGCAGATAGACCTGCTGCCACAGCCTCTCCTTTTCTCCCAGTAGCTGTTTGCACTGGTGTGCCTTTTACATTACATGTCCGGAATTAATTTATTGCTGGGACAGCATTTTCCTTGCTTGTGCAGTTTATAAATAGGCTATAAATAAGATGCTGATTTCTAATCACTGTACAGCACTGGTGGAAGCACTCACACTGGAGTGTCAGGGTGGTGCCTGTGCTTTCCTGGCCTGTTACTTGCCAGCACTAGTGTGTTCCTTTTTTGGAGCAGTGGCAGCTCCCGCACAGGACCCTGCAGCCGGTGGTTCTGCCACAGCACCAGCCAGTACAGCTGCTAAAACCACCTCAGCAGTAAATGAAGCTGGAAGATGTAGGGCAGTGCTAGATCTCTGCGCAGTGCTGGAGGGGTTTTTTAGCTGGTTGGATTCCATCACAGGGTAAACCCAATTCCTCTGCCGCCCGAGCCTGCCTGTGTTTCCTCAGCATAACTTAGATTTAGCAGACTATTTATGTCTTTGGTGGTGGTGGTGAGGGGACACAAATGGAAACACGTACTGGGTTTGTTCCTCTAGTAAACCAAAACCTCAAATATAGGGTAAAACTAAGAAAGGAAAATTGTGCATTTCTACCCAGCCAGACTGTCTCATCAGAGCCAGAGGGCTGGACAAGGGCAGGTGGAAGAGGGACCTGAGCTCCTTAGGGCAGCTCCTGCACAGGTTATGAAAATGAGGCTCATTAGAAAGATGGGGATGAGATCTGTCTTAACAGCTGTGGTGCCTTAGGGAGCCATGAGGTGGATGTTACTGCAGAGCGACTCACCAAAGCCAGGAGTGTTCCACGGAATTTGCTATGAAATGACAGGTCTTGATGTGGCTGCCACAATGCTGGGACTGAGGTGCCTTTGTGCTGTTTGGAGGCTGCCATGAGCTGGGTATGGGAGGAAGAGGCACACGTTCCCTCACTGCCCTGGCTGGGCTGGCAGGTGTCACTGCTGGTGTAGGGACCATCTTGCTGCTAGTGCCATCCCATTAGAAGTGTAACCTGCAGGGGGGACAGAAACAGCGACAATGCAGCAATCGGGTGCCCATACCAAAAGATGAGCTGTTTTGCTATGAATTAGTGCTTTTCCCAGTTTTAGGTGCTGATGCAGTTTGCATCTTAAAGCCAGAATATTAAATAGCAAAATTGCTTCTACACCGGCCAGGTAATGTCAGGGAGACAGGCTGCAGGTTGTGCTGGCCTCCCTTTTTACTGCCCCTCCGTTCTGCCCCCAGGGGAAAACTGCCCGCCAGGTACTCCTATAGCCTCCAGTGCCTCAAAGCTTAATCACACAGAGTGAGCTGGGTTTGAATAACAGTCCCGAATGACCCAGTTTTGCTGCCAAAGAAGCTAAATCAAAGCCATGGCTGCTGCAGGGAAGGGCTAGTGGGGCTGCTGAAGGTGGGTTAGCTGGGCTATGGGGTGGAAGCAGCCTGCTGTGTCAGCAGAGTCTGGCTGCAAGGAAACCTTTGCAGCAGCAGGTTCCCCACTGTGGAGCATCACTGGCAAAGCACCCTCTAATTGCCAGGCTTGCAGGAGCAGGCGCTGTCACAAGATAAGTTTCAGCTCTCAGTGGAGGCACTCACAATGCATCTCGGGCATCTAATAGCACTTGTATTAGTGATGTAGCCCTTCATGCATGTAATATATTTGCTATTATCACCATAGCCCAAAGAGTAATAACCCCTGGGACCAGGTAAACCATGGGCTCAAGACTTAACAGTGAATTTAAGCAACAGAAGAAGGTGTAAGCAACAGGAGAAGGTGGGAGAAGCTGCCCATGGTGGGGCTCCACTTCTCACTTGAAGAGGGGAATTCGTGGGGTGGTGTCACTGGGCTGGTGGTGGGGGATCACCTTGCTGACAGCCCTCCATATCCTTTCAGACAAGTGCCGTGCTGTGTGCAGGTGGCTGTGCCCTGCTGGCCCTCAGCTCGCTGCTGGCCATCGTCGCTGTCCTGCTGCCTGGCGGAGCCTGTGAGAGGAGAGTCTGCACCCTGGCTGGCTACATGCAGACAGCAGCAGGCAAGTGATGGCGACTTTGCTCTTTGGGGTGGAAAAGTGGGGTTTCCTCAGGATGCTGCCTGGCCATTCACAGCATCCTGTATCTCAGCAGCAAGAGGAGCTTGCAAACTCTAACCAACAGTGGCAGAAAAGTGAGTGGCCCTTCACTTAGCAATTGCTACCTGCATTCATCCTTATAGAATCTACTGAAAATGACTTTCTTGATGCTGCATTGGCTAATGCAGATGGAAGAAGGCAGGCAGCTGGGGCAGGTCCATCCTTGTGCTGTGGAAGGACAAATCCCAAATGAGACTTGTCTACCCACCCAGCCGCATCTCTGGGAGCTGAAAGTGTTGGACCAAACCACCCCAGCTGGACATAAGCCATGACAGGAGATTAAACCGCCCATCATCTCTGTGCCTGATAATAAACTCCTTTCCTTGGAGAAATCCTCGGGGCCAGCCAGGCTTCCTTATCTGCTCAGCAGCATTCAAGCTGCTTTTGAGGGCAATCCTGTTACATGTTTTCCTCACCAGGGCTCATCCAGCAGGAGCTGATTTGGGAACAGATGGAGAGGCCTGGCCCGTTAGCTGTGGCTGCTCCAGCTCAGCCAGGCTGTGGGTCCATAGAGGCAGCTGCTCCTGCCTGTACCCCATTACTACTGACCTGTGCATCATTTGGAGGCCGCAATTTGGAGATTCCCATCACCTCTCTGTGCTGCCTGGTGGCGGCAAGACAGAGGAGCCCCATGCCAGGAGGTCTCAGCCCCAGCATGGGGATGGTGTGGGTCACTGAGACGTGGCTCAGGGTGGCCTCCTGTGCAGGGGTAAGTGGGACAGAAAGGGGTCTGCATTACCTTTGCTTGGGGGTGGCACATCCCTGCTGTGGCTCTGCAACAAGAGACAAACAAGGGATTAGGAAGAGTCTCTGGAAAGGAAACAGACTGTGGCAGATAAATACAGATGAGGCTCTCTGAGGGGTTTGGGTAATATTGAACAGGCTGCAAATAAACTGTAGTCTCTGAGCGTTACTGACAAATTAAAATTTACTGGGTATGTTCAAGCAAGCTAATGGGTGGCTTCAAACCCTGGCAGTGCCTCGCTAAGCATTTTGTATTGTGCTTTTTAATTTTGGTTCACTGTGGATTAATTCCTATTCAGAGCCAGGCAGCCCTGAGTCAACAGAATTAAATGGCTTAATGTATTTGGATTCAGAAATGCTGCCCACCCACCTCACCCAATTTCTCTCCCTGTTCCTCTCATCTTCATTTAAAATCAGCTGCAGCCAGGTGACAGTGAGGTAAACTCCTCCCCCAAAATCACACTATCTAATAGAAAAAAGCAGTGATTTTAGGGTAGATGAATTTATATAGGAAAGAAGGAAGGCAGAGCAAGCCCATGACGTTTGGTAAAGCACCTTTCTGATGGAGGGGGCAGCTCTGCCAGGGGAACCCCTACAAATCCACTACAAGATGCCAGCGGAGCAGTGGGAGGTGGCTGTGTTTCTCCTGTGTGTTTCCCTGAAGCACAGCTTGTCCCCCAGGCACCTTCCCTCTGCTTGCCGTGGTATTTCCCCCCTGAAATCCAGATTTTGCTCCCGTTTTCCCATCCCATAAAAAAAACTCAAGATGCTTTGCAGAGAACCGTAGGCGTGAATAAAGCTTAACACTATAAAACATTGAGTCTAATTTCCTAATAAAAGAGCCAGGTGCATGAAACATGCCATAAAGTACATGAGCAGAGGCCCTGGGAGAGCCAGAATCAGTCCCTGTAGTCTCTGTGCTGTATCATACAGGCACCCTGAGCCACACTCGCATAAATCCAGGTGCAAAAGCCAAGCTGAACCAAACAAGAATCAATCCTGAGAGCAGCCCCACAGCAAGGGCCCAAACTATGCCTTTAACACTTTACTGCTGTGTTTTGAGATCCAAGTTGCTCCTTTTCTAGCCCCAGAAGGAAAGAAGATAAAAACCTTATGTAGATAGCGAAGAGCATTAATTGCAGACACAGACATGCCATCAGGGTTCAGAGCTGGGCTAATTGCCACCATATGCTGAACATATGATTCCTGATGCCTGGCATCCACCCCTTATTAAAAAATCCCCACCATAGCCACATAAATGACAAGAGGATGATCCCAAAAGAAGGGTAAATGAACAGCAGAGCAACATGGAGAGGGGGAAAGGAGAAAAGACAGAACATTTGCTCAGCTCTCACACCCTAAAGGCAAAGTCAGAGCTGCTTGAGAGATTAGAGCTCATTCCCCAAGTGTGATGCCAGCTCACTAAAATTAAATTTCTATTATGATACCTCCTCCCAGACCTGCTCAGCAGCACCTCTGAAAAGGCTTAGGAAGCCAAGCTGGCCCCATTTATGTGTGGGTTGGGAGTGGGGTGGGGGCAGCCCCAACCTCCATCTGTGGCCCATTGCTGCTGATGGAGATGGGCCCTGGGGCTAACGCCAGGGACAGGGAGTGCAAAGGGGGTAGAGCTGATATCTTGCTACAGTTAGTTTTCAGAAAAAACCTGTTTGCTGGCATTTTAAAATTAGGAGTTGTATCCAGGGAGAAACGTTTCCTGCTGTAAGGAAAAGGCAGGGGATGTTCTCCAGGGCTGGCTGTGCTTGTACAACCTCTCTGGTGGCTTCTGGGTGCTGTGCCAGGGGGCCTGCAGTTTATAGCTGGACATTAGAGTTCCTCTGCAAAGCTCTCAGACCAATTATTAAGCAACTGCCAGTGGCAAAGCTGCTGGAAGGAGCACGGGGCCATGACAGTGTCCCAGGAATTGGCTTCACCCAAAGGCAACTGTTGGTGATGCCCTGGGTTGCCCCAAGGCTCCACCCTGAGCTATTGCAGGCCACACAGGCCCCAGTAGTGTCACTGCATTAGGAGTGTCCTGAAGGCTGCGGGGTGCTGAGAGCCAAAGCAGCCTTTGCTGGGTTGCCAGCATGGACCGTTTCTGTTCTCTGGCTCAGGAGCATCTGCACTCCCATGGGAATGGCCTTTCCAGGGGAGTGAGGCTTGCTACTGGTGGAAAGTGAGATTGCAACCGAGGCTGAGTAAACTTCATCAAACAGCAAATCTGGGCAGCTTTCTGCTTTTGGGGCTTGTAGGACTAAAGGAAGGATTACGGGTCTGCTGTTGGATTAAGCTACTGGCACTAAAGAGGATTGCATCTGCTGCTTAGAAAAAGTACCAAGTCTTCCCAGGCTGGCAGCAGGGACTAGCAGCCTCCCTCCACAGCAACTTTAGCTACCCTAAGGCCTCAATAAAAACCAGGGTTGTGTTGTTTTTCAGAAGCTTTTCACCATGAGCAAAGGGCTCTTGGTTTGCTGGTGAGTGGTGGCTGATCCATCAGTGATTAGTAACTGGATGCACCCTCAGCTGCCCCACAGATGCTGATCCTGGGCTCTGAGACATGCCTATGAAGTAGCCTTACAGTAGGAGGCTAAAGAGCTTTGCATCTTGTTGAGGGCACAGGCGCAGTCGAGCATGAGGGAAGCCTTAGGGGAGAGTTTTACATTTGCCCCACGCTGCTCTCTGTCTAATCCTACCACCATCAATTCACTGCTCAAGACAAACCCAGTGCTGAGGGCAAATGACCCTGACCTGCCCATGCCTTTCTCAGGCTCTTTTGGTTTCAAAGAGTAATTCCCCAGCATTGCTACGACAGAATCAGAACAGTCATGAGAGACTCCAGCAAGACAGGGAGAAACTCCCAGTTATGCAATTCCCTTACTTAGCTGCACTTTAATCCCAAATGTCATGGTAGTCCCAAGAGCTTCTTCCTGCAAAATGTGATTGCATTCTGCAGCCAAGATCCCTCTTGCTGGCAGAAGCATGGTGGCATTACAGAGATAGATAGTCTCAGCTTTTGGTTAGTTAAGCAGCAAAGCAAAATGCAGGAGACGTTGTGCTTGCTGAAGTAGCTGGTGCTTATTGATCATCAGGTAAGAACACATCAAGAGAGCTGTCAATTTTCAGATCAGTGTGAATCTTTTAAACACACTGTGTTCCAAGGACTGAAAAGCAGCCTAGATTAAAATGGAATGTGCCGTTCCCAATGGAGTGCTGCAGGATGGGTGGGAGGTTTGCCCAAGACTTGGGATGCAGTCATGTGCTGCGGTTAGCATGGACATGGCAAGTCCCTGGCCAGGAGGCTGTCTCAGTGCCTGTGTCACAGTGCTACTTAGGAAGGCAACGTGTGGTCGCTGTCCCCATTGTGCCTCCTACCCCACCCTGCATCCCAGCCTACCTTTGGGATCAATGGTGCCCTGTTTTTTCCAGCTTGTGCAGGTTCTGAATGGCAAACAGCACCGTCATCCACGTCCATATTGATTCCTCAGACTAGTATCGATCAGCCTGGTGACATATAGGTAATGTGTAATTAGTAACTTAGATAAAAACAGCACCAAGAGTGTGTACAACCAAGCTGCCTCTGTCCTCTGACCTTTGGTAGCATCTCCACAGTTGCAGCAGTTAGAGGGGTCGTAGCCTGGTAATTGCTGACCTGCTATTAAAAACACTGTGGGAGTCTTCTCTTTCCTGCTGCTGTCACTACCATGAGAGGCAGTTTTGGAGTGTGCCTGATGGGATTTCTGATGACCAGGTACCAGTAGTCACTATTGAAATAATGGCACCAGCAGCTGTTGGGGATGCTGGAGAGCAATGTCTGAGGATGTTGCAGGGGCCACTGGACAGTGGGGACATGCCCACTGCTCCCGGGGTGCAGGCAGTGTCACAGCATGGCCCCTGCAGCACCTCTTTGAGGAGACATAAATGGAGCAGATACCTGCCCAAGGCAGGGGACAGTTTGGGGTTGTGTCACCAATGCTGCAACCAACACTAAGAATGTTCAGGAATGGCTGAGGAGAAGGGGGAGCCAGTCCCAGATTGTGCAGCTTTTCCCACCTGCTCCAACACAGCCTGGGCAGGGGCCGACCCATAACCGGTTTCCTGAAGGGCGTGCTCATGGCTGCGGTGGGAGCCCCATCCTGTTGACAATAAGGATTGTTTGTCACAAGACAGCCCTGGGAATCTGAAGAGGAACTTGGCAGCAGAGGCAGGGGGAAGCAGCGCCCTGTTTTCCAGTCATTGATTTGATTTAAAATCACCCAAAGCTTCCCCCATCCCTATTTTAAAAATAACATCTTGGCTTTTATCACAGAGCCCCCACGGTCACAGTATCACAGTATGCTAGAGATTGGAAGGGACCTCAAAAGATCATCTAGTCCAATCCCCCTGCTGGTCCCTCTTGTGGCAGTAACGTCTTGAAAAACATGCTGAGTCCTGACACGGGTATGTTCAATCACCAGAGTAGCATTAAAAACATGTTGCCATAAAGCTGTTTCCAGCCATCCAAGAAAGGTTGCCCAAAACTGCAAGATTTGTCTAAGCAAGAGAAGTGCCAAAAATAAAGCAAAGTCCAGTCCTGATATGAAGTGCTTGGGCATGAAAGTAAAAACTAGCAGCGTAAAACCTGACCTTGGGGATGGGTCCAGCTCCTGAGTCACAAGGACAGCACTTCTGTTTTCCCATTGCCTTCCTTTTCTGTAAAGAGCAACGCCCCCATCACAGCTGTAATTGCATGATCCTCATCACTGCTCAGGCCCTCATTGCCATCTTTACCCTCTCCCCTCCGCATTTCACATCTCATCCTTGCAATAGAGACAGCAGTCAACACCGTTGGAAGCCCTGGTTCCTCCCCTGGTGCAATAATTTTTCCCCCTGCTTTCTTTAATTACATTTGTAAAGATGAAAAACTGCCTTTGGCACATTATTATTCAGTCAGTGAACTCTCACTAATTCCTGACACAACTAATACATGTCTGATGCTAGGAGCCTGCTGACAGGCCTCTGCTGCAGCCCAGCCCGAGAGGTGCTTTGCTCCAGTGCCAATATTGCTTACACCTGACTTATGTGTGCTCTCAAGTTTTACACTCACACTAATGAAGATCCTCTTTTGCAGCATTTTTTGCCAATTTGCTCCAGGATTCAGCTCAGTATAAAGCCATAACCATCCTGGGCCTTAGGCTAATGTGTCCCAGAGCAGGGACTGCTCTGAACACTGTGGAGATGCTGGGCACCAGCACCAAAGCCCAGATGATGGTATTCCCCCAGTCTCTGTAAGAGAATTTGATGAACTCCTATGTTAAAACAGACAATTGACTTTTTTTCCATCTACCTTCCAAGTGGGAGTTGTCACCTGGGAGGATGTTGCAGGGGAGCAAAATGAACTTGCCAGATCTGCAGATCGACAGGCATGAAAGTGGAACCACAAACATGGACTCAACTTCAGCCTTTCACTGGAGGAAATTTCTGTTCCTGCTGAAAAAGTAATTTCTCCATGCTCTTTGGTGCATACTGTCATGTGATAGATCATCTTGGTTTGAGAACCATTTCATTTTACTTTGAAAACCTGAAATCTTCAGTGGAGAGACAGATCATTAAACTTAGCAGTAAAAGGGAGAAGGGCTGGCAGCTTTCCTAACAGCCAGGTTAAGGGTACATTAGCCTTCGCAGGGTTTAAGCTCATTTCATAGGAGGTGCAGAGCTGCTGAAGGGGCTGGATCCTGGCTGCACTGTACAGCAGCTGAGCCCCACTTCACCCTCCGTGAGAGAAGTTATGAATTAATTTCCATCTCTAACAATTGGACAGTTTTCTTTCTTCTGCTTAGTTCTCAAACTCTGCTTTGCTTTTCTTCAGGTACAGTTCTGCCAGTTGGCACAAACCCTCTGACATGGTGCCTTTGCCCTCCCTTCAGGCAGGGAACACAGCAGGAGCAGTGTGTCTGGGCTAATGCTGGAGGCAGTGTATTGCTCTCTAAATGAGTAGCCTCACTGAGAGAATAAACCAGCCATGTCCTTTCACTGGTTTCTTGGAAAAGGGCAATACATTTCCAGTGACATCAGTGACAGAAGCAATATCCTTTCATTGCTGTCATTGAAAAAGAGCAGTTTTATACTGTGGGAAAGGACTAGTTCTGGTGTACAAAACATATTTCCTATTGCCTTAAATCTGGGGAAATCCTTGTCATATTAATATGTGGCTGAATTGCTTCTCTTTCAACATTTCTCCTGGGGATTTGAGTTTAGGCCAGTTACTGCACTTGGGTGCAGTAACAGTCCATAAAAAGTATATTTTGTAAATAATGACAGTGCTTTGTAATAAGTGGGAACAACAAATAGCAAGTGCCACTGAAGCTCCAAAGCCTCTGAGGAAATACAAGCCAGCCCCAAGGACCCCAGCACTGTGCCAGAGCCATATCTTTCAGATGGGAAAATCTATACTTCAGTTCTAGAGGCAATTTGCTTCCCTGTGTTACTTTCCATTCAGTTTACAGGCAGTTAGTTGTTCCTTCTTCTACAATGCAGGGCATTTACTCTCATGTTGTCATTTCCAAGGTTCCAGCATGGAGCTCAGGGGTGTTATCAGAAGGTTCTTCCAGACATACCTTTCCTAGCAAGCTCCCTCACATCACATGAGCTTCTGGGGAGAGATGGCTTTGATTATGGTTCATCTTTCATGGAGCTTAACTGTGCTTGTTGGTTGTTGCAGGAGAGAACCACTGCATGAGAGGGTCCTTCTTCCCATTTAAGTTCAGGCTGCAGGTAGCACAGAAAGGACATAATAAACCAGCTCCTGCAAAGCTTTAGAGCATCAGTTAACAGCTGTCATCAGAGGCTCCCCAGCCTGCATACTGCATGCCCACAGTGCTGGGAAGAAGCCTGTCTCCTTACCTCCTTGCTATGTGATTGTGAGCTTCAGGTGGTATTTCCCTTCAGAAATAGTTTGGCTTGTCCCTTTTTTCCCCTGGCTTGGCTCATGTTTGTATCTGCTGTTGCTGGGAAGATGGAGACAGACCCTTGCAAACCCCTCCCAGGGCCACCTGAATGTCCTCCTTTGCTATGGGGAATGGAACTCCTAGCTGGATTTCATGCATGCTGAAGCGATTACATAAATGTCGCATGATCTTTATTGACTCATCCATCTGGACTGTGTGGTGTAATGCAGAGAAAAAAATCCCCATTCTCTCCAATGCTAACAGGGAGCTCAGGACTCAGAGGCAGGTTGTAGTTCAGTCTGCTCAAGAGAAGCATGCGTTTTGGGGAGTTTTGGTCAACCCCAGTGTCCAGCCCTCTTTGTGTCTGTCAATTTTGGAAGGTTTTGGCCTGTTATGATGTGCTAATCCAATATTAGCAGTATGGAAAATAGACTCTGGCTTTTGTGTGAGATATATATGTTTGCTGGGCTGGTTGGATCCTGACTAATGTAACAGTCAACTGAACGTGGGGATGGACAAGGACCTGTCAGGACACAGCAATGAAGGCAGCACATACAGCCGTCTGTCAGCACCAGCATGCTGCCCTGAAACCTGAAAGTTGATGCCAGATTTGGGATGAAGCAGTGAGCCCCTATATGCTTCAAAATCTGTCCTGCTGAGATTAGATGAAGCTCACACTATCTGTAGATCCACCTGGAAAGTCATTCTGGGGCCTTGCTGTTGCCATACAGCAGAGATGTTTTGGCCTAGCCTTGGTGAGCAAGGTGATAAATTGTGATGCAGCTGCTCACAGTCCTTTGTGTTGCAAATTGCCCAGGCAGTTAAAAACGGCTGTGCTGGTGCATCAGCCAGTTCTGCTTTAAGAGAAGGCACAGAGAGAGGAGCTGTGAAGGTCAGACAAAATGGGCCTTTCCAACACCACAGCCCCAGCTGGCCAGCAGGGTCCCTCACTGGGATGTGGGGCATTCCAGTCCTGCTTTGCGTGCTCTAGATGAGCATTTGGCTTCAGTATCCTGAATAACTGGCAGGAGGTGCTGGGTAAACTGGGGAACCAGCCCTGAGAGTGGATGCGTGAGCAGTGGTTCTGGGCCAGATCCCACTTCCTTCTTGCACAGTTTGATAATGCAGGTAGTCTGGCAGAGGTCTCTGTCCTTGTGTGGGCATGTAGAACAGCTCCCAGGCGAGCGCTGGCTTGGAAATGCTTTGCTCTGCCTTCCCATATGAATCTATGCTGTTGTACTTCTCTGCTGGTAAGGAACATATCTGCTAGGAGGAGAAATTTATCCCGCACTGAGTGTAAACACAGATGGAAACATGGTGAAGCCCTTTTCAAAGTCACAGGAATAAATCTGTCTAAATGACTGAACATCTGGGGCAGTGAAAGAGCAGGTGGAGAACTAACTCAGGAAAGGCCAGTGGTGCTAAGGGATGGCTGTCTGGGGAGAGGGTACGAACTGTGGGATAGTGGAAGTGTCTAACATGGGGAAATTGCCCCAAAGAGCAGCAAAAGTTTCCAAAAAGATTACCATTTGGGATCTTTTCAAAAGACTCCTTCAGTTTTTTGAGTCCTGTGAGTTGCATCCCGGGCACTTCTGATGGACCAAGTTGGTTGGCTTTTCCCCTGAACTAATCTCATCTGATCTATCTAAGGCAACATGAGGGGGATGCAACCCCATGTTGTCCTCCAGCTGCTGGGATAAGCAGGATTTTGCTCCATGGTTAGGCAGCAACTGCTATACTGCAGAAGCGGCTCTGTCTATTGCCTTGGAAGAGCAGACCTGACATAATCACATTGCTGGGAATGAGCTTTATGCTGATGGTTTGGTCAGTTCTTCTGGTCCAAGTGGTGCATTTTCTGTGCTTCACAATAAGAGCACTCCTGGACAAAGGCCTTGGTCCTGAAAGGCTTTATTCACTTGCCTAACCAAAAAACTAAAACCATGGATAAGCCTTGGATGTCTGAGGAAATGTTAAATAGTGTTCTTCTCCCACCCATAACCTTGGCAGAGCATGGCTCTGGCTGCTAAAGCTGATAAAATGAACAGCCCCTGTTGCTCCTGGTAGGGATATAAAAATATAATTACTTGACGAGTGACTTATGATTCAGTGAAACAAGGATCTTCTCCTTTTTGATTGAATTATGCAGCAGTATTCCTAGAAGACTGGAAGCAGATGGTGAGCTCTGGCCAGGCATTTAACAGCCTGAGTTACTGTGTGGAAGGGATGGAGCTGAGCAAGGCTGCAACATGTCACTCCTGCCTTTCTGCTTGCCTTGGATCACCACTGTGGTGTGTTCCCTGGGAAAGGAGAGGCTGTAGGTTAGGGTGGGATGGGCTGTTGCAACGGATGGAGGTGTGGAGCATGTCCAGCAGCAAAGGGCTTATTTTGCAGCAGCAGCATGCAGCCTGGGTGGCAGCAAAAAAAAGCAAAAATGTTGTTTCTGCAAAGCCAGTGCTGCTTTGGTCCCAGGTAGGCACATTGTGACAGCAATCCCAGTGCATGATGTTACAGGGCCATGTGCACCTGGGAGGTGGCAACTGGCCTCCTGTCATGCAGGTGAGCTCCCATCCCTCTGGGCCCATGAGGAGCACAGGCAAATGCAGACAGTCCCCTGGGCTGGGCTGGAACAAATGCTCCTGTATAATTTGTGCTTCGCTGCTTCTTCTGCCCCCATATATCTTGAGCACATCAATAAAATCAACCAGACTATTAGCAGCATGTCATATTATCAGCTGTGGATGTGTGTGCTGTGCATCAGGCAGCCGTGCAGCCTGCATTTTATGAAGTGAGCTGCTCATACTACTGCTGGAGTTGCAGCAATTACCACACCCCTCACAGCTGGGCAATGCTCTGGCTTTTATGAGCTACCCTAAATCAAAGGCCCTTTCTTTTTAAAGAGAAATTAACAATTCTATCCCTTTCTATTTTTTTTACTGGCATCACAGCCAGCAGGTTGAGGTGAGACACAAATCTTGTTGCTGAGTTGCGCCCACTGCATTGTCTTTTTGCATATTTTTATCAAATAATCAAATGTTCTTTTGGAGCTCTGAAGTCCTTATGAGGGAGACTCATTTTCTGCTACCACGGTCTCTTTGTGCCAAGTGGGTGATGTATGAAAAGGAATTGCAAATAGCTGTTTACGGCAAGCAAAGTCACGGAACAGCCCACTTCAATTTCTGCTATCTGTTGGAGACTGTTGTCAGTGATGGTCAAAATTAATTAAGCAGGAAGGAAGAGAGCAGGGAGGCAGTATGCATCCAGTTCTGACACTGAAATATTAATGGTGAGCTAATCAAGAAAGAGTATCTATGAATATCTAATCAGCTTACAGTTTGCATTTGTACTAAGGCAGTCAGCTTCTGGGCCACAACCCTTTCCAGGAGGTGTCAGGAGAGGAGATGCCTGCCTGATCACTCTATCTGGGAATAAACAAAGAGCTTGTGCCTACATCAGGAGCCGAGGCACATTTGTCTTTTGCACTGCACAGTCCTGCTGCCACTGGATGCTGCTGTATGCTCCCTGCTGTCACCTACAGCAGCCAGGTCAGAGGGTCCAGCCCACAGCATCTCCCA